AAGCATCTTTCTAGACTCTGACAGTCATTTTTTTCTCAGATAACATCCAGATACCATTAAGAGGAACTACTGGAGCTGTAAATGTCTGTTTTTGTAATTTATATCGTACCTCTGCACCCTTGAACATCAGTCTTGTTCTTCTAAGGGAGTTCACGTGTTTTATAATAGTAGTTTAAAGCAGCATTTTATATTGAAATATTATAACCATCTGCAGTTTTTTTCTGTAGAGAATTAGAAAACAGCTGTTAATTCAGAACAGATTCAGGAGCTCAATTCTCTACTTTTGCTATAATCCCAAAATGAATATGAAATGTAAGCTTTTTCCCATGAAGAACTCATTGAGAGTGAGGGTTTTATTAGGAATAGAGCAAATGTTAAACAAGTTGGTTCTGATCAGTAAAATTACATTTTTCAGTAACAGCAATTGTAGAGGATTTGGCAGCAGAAAGCAGCTGTGGTCACATCTTCTCCAGCTGTGCTGAGTGGTCAGTCAGTGATCAGATGCAGAGGCAGGACCACCATCCCAGCAGAGTAAATAATATGGGATAGAAGAATCTTCCTCCATCATAGAAGCAAAGGCGAGGCTGTGGATGGAAAATGGCCACAAGTAGAACATTAAACCACTCAAGTAGAAAATTATATAAGCTTTTGTTTCATCATATGTTATTGAAGGACAGATATCAACAGTGGGGTGAGGGAATAAGGTGAGCTGCTCATTCTGAATAACCTTTAGTCTTTGACTCTGTGTTGGTCCTGTGATGAACGGCTGACCTGTCCAGGATTCAGCTGACTGCTGTAGACCCTCATTGGTCCACCCCCTCCCCCAGACTAGATTTAGCCTCGATCAGAAACAGAGAATGGACGAATGCTTTCCCTGTTGACATATTGACCCACCTCTATGACAGACGTTGAATCAGAGTAAATAATTATACAGAGTAATAATATTAGTAGATATTGGTAGAATAAACTAAAATAAAATAGCCTCCATTGGTGTTTCGATTTCTCTTCACACAATGTGCCATTTCAACCAGGTTATTAATGCAAATGAAGTACACACCCAAAGAGAATTTGTTTTTTTTATTAAATATTCAGATGCAGTTCCTGAGGTATAAAACAGGTGTGTTTGAAAGAGGAGTAAACATTTCCTGAGAAGTTTCTTCAGCGGAACATTGAGATTAAACTGCTTCAAAATCTGAGGGAGAAAATAAACCCCAGAAGTAAGTTTCTGCTTTTTTGAGATAGACGTCTGGTATTTTCTTACATTTTTATCTTGGGATTATTAATCTTTATTTTAATGTATTCTACTGTTTTCAGATCATATTTACGTGTTTGCTTTTTCTTTTTTTACTTTTAACAACGAGAGGGGATTAGGCTTCAATATATGTTTATATGTGTTTACACAAAAATGTAAAAACTATCATTATTCCAACAGAGAAAAACATTTTACACCAAAAATACTGATTTAAGAATCCACATATGAGGAACAATGCAGTGGGAGCTATTTCTGCTTACTTTGTTCGGTAAGAAACTTTAGATTAATGCTGCAGTTGATCATTTTAGCCAAAATCAC